GGGCTCGAACTCACGGAGTGCGAGATCGTGACCTGGCTGAAGTCGGACGCCCAACCGACTGCGCCACCCAGGCGCCCCACCTCCAATTCTATTTTAAATCAGCATAAGAAGTTTTCAGTTTTTCTTTTTTGATGGCCTATCCAAGTAAAGGAAAACAAAAATTTACTTACTACTTTCCATTAATTTGTATCCGTAATGGTTACAAATAAATATAAAAGCTCACAAACAAATCCAGCTTTCAGTAATACATTTCTGTGATAAAGCAAAAACAAATACTGACAACATAAGCACGCATTAACTAAGACTGTACTTAACAGTACTTGAATTAATGCTCTTTTCTCAGAGAATAGTTCATTTTTTTCCATAATTAGACTTTTAAAATCTATATATTAAAATTTAAACTTTCTCTTTTTTGGGTCATCTTTCTTTTAAAATATGGTGTTCATTTTAAAATATAGAGCACTGTTGCTAGACCCCATTAGGGAGCTACCAACTAACTTTTTTTAAATTTTAAATTAATTATAATGAATTGAGTTCATTTATTTCACTTGTTGAAGAAAAGGTCTATATTCATATTACCCAAAATATTGTTATTTTATTCCAGATCAGAGATACTAAGTCAGCAGATCAAAAAACAACCCTCTTGCATTTTATTGCTGAAATTTGTGAGGAAAAATACCGGGATATCCTGAAATTTCCTGAAGAACTAGAACATGTTGAAAGTGCAAGCAAAGGTAATTGATTTGTAGCTTTTTTTGAGACTATTCCTCACCTAAGTATTATATTTTAAGTGGTAATATTAAATAAACTTATTAACCATATTTTTCTGTTTATGGATATAAGAAAAGCAGGAAGATAATTTCCATTAGCATATATTTGACAATATAGTGCATTTTAATGACCTACTTTTTACTTACTTAATTTTTTAATACTGCTAGCTTATTTGAGCTTTCATATCTCTTATGAGATAGTATGTTCATTCATTCATTTCAAAATCACTTAAGTGTATATTGTTTGCAAAGGAACCATACCATGGGGCTTTTGATGATATCAATATGATGGTGGGACAGTTCTTGCTTGAATATATTTAATTTCTAGAAGGTAAAAAAAGACATATATCCACATAGTTTATAAAATAAGGATGAATATGAGAAGTACTACACAAAAAGATACTGTACTATAATTTAAATGAGATAAGAAGTTCCTTTTGAATATGTAGATAAGAGAAGGCTTCCTGGAAGAGGTCAAAGTGTGAAGCATGAGCACAGGATTTTTACAGATATGGAAAAGAGGCATGTGAGCAAATAATATGAGTAAAAAACAGTGGCACAATATGTTAAGATGGGTGAAAGAATGGTTGAAAGTGAGATTATATATGTGGAGAAGGAGAAGTACATTTTCCCTCAGGTAAGAAAGCCATGCCATAAATCTTGTATTTGAAATCACACTATATTAATTCCATTTCTCTATAACTCTGAGGATTTTCAGTAAAGACTCAAAAGCATATACATTTCCCAAGTTTATTACAAACCATATAAACCTGTTAGTGTTCATTGAAGGGGGAAAAAAGTATGTCTATGAAACCCAGAATATTTTTTGTATAATATTGTTCAGTGGTCATCTCTGCCTGTCTGGTATTGTCAATCAAATCCTGAATGTATCTCTTTAATTTAATCCAGTGTGTCTCATTTTGTGGTCCCAGGACCAGAATAACAAAAGAAGACAAAGTATGACTCCATAGTACTTTCCTTTTTGTTAAAAAAATCTTAAAGATATGATGTAAAATTATACTCACTGGCAATTGCTTTTCTAAAGAACTTCTATATCTTGGCCCTTACATTTAAAAATACACCATTATGACTAGTCATATCTACTACTAACATGTAACTAATGTGGGATAATAGCAATATTTAAAAAAAATTATAATTGGAAACATGAGAAATGTCACAAATAAGACCAATTCTGAAATTCGATCATGTCATCCTATTATTACTGTTTGATTGCCCTCTACCATAATTTTTTTCTAAATTTTATTTGTCCAATATGTAGATTCAATTCCAGAAAGATAATGAGAAGTATATCAATAATGTGTTTAAATAAAATGATGTTAATTTTATGATGATGATTTTTAGTTCTTAATTTTTAAATTTTTAGTTCTTACACCAAGGATACTTTAGATAAATATATCTGATAACCATTTTTATTCAAAATAATCTGGGACAACTGTAATGAAATGTATAATGAAGTTTATATCAGCTTTTATTTTTAAGTCTAGATACTAGTTTATCTATCTATCTATCTATCTATCTATCTATCTATCTATATGTATATGTATTTCTATATTGTCATATATTTGTGTCTCTGTCTATATCATTTCATACATACTTTTAGCCACCACTGCTATTGATGAAGGTAGCCTGTAGATCACAGCCTTCTGAGTTAGATATTATAAAGTTCTAATCCTAGCTGTATAACTTAGTTCTATAACCTTGAGCTACTAATGTAACTTCCCAAGTTTTGTTTCCTCATTTGTAAAATGGGAATTATAGTAACAAGAAGATCACATGAGTTGACGTGTTTAAAGCATTAAATAAAAGGCTTGGCACATAACTAAATATGTAGCTGTTGCTATACCACTATCTTTATTAGTAGTAGATATCATATTCGATATACTACTACAAATATTGTAGTCACTGCCATTGTCTTGTTAGAAGGGGATAATCATAAGGGTACCTATAGTTCCTACAGTTGCAGCCAACTATGTATTATATCCAGTTCTATTTGTTTCCTGTGTGGGGGTTTTGGTAAATCCTTTCATATTTTTCTTTTACAGTATCACCAACTTTTTTCTTCCTGTCTATCAAAAGCAAAATCTCTGTTGTACTTTGATTATTTATGCTTTTCTGTGTTCTTCATGCCAGTGTTTTCAAAAGATTGTTGCGAGAAATCCTCTTCCTATCTCACTGTTTGGGCCACAGCAATCCCCATTCTCAAGTTATTTGACTAGTTTTTTCTCTTTCCCTATGAAATTCAGTCTCAACTTAAATTCTTAAGTGCATTCCACCTTTTTGCTTCCCTCTTTAATCTCCTCCTACTTCTCATTTCAGTGTGCTGAGACATATTTTCTCTTGTGCCATTTTATTGCTTTCTAGTAATCCTGCCTCTGTGTATGATTTCATTCTGCATCCCATGCCTAGAAATCTCAACTTCCCTGTCCTCTAAGACAACTATCATTTGTCAAAACCCTGTTCAGAATCCATTTTTTAAATGTTTTGCTACTGAATCCCTAGGAGGAAATACTCTGGAATTTAGTCTACAGAGAATAAAAACAAAACATGGTAAAAGGTCAGCCAGGTACCTCTTGTTTACATTTCAATACTTTTCCTTAGTATTTGAATCCAACTTGTCTTGTTTGCTTAATATGAGTTCAAAGTTGTTTGAAACACATTCTGTAATCTCTAGAACTGTGCATAGCATGTATATAGTCAAATAGTAAAAATACAAACAGATGAGCACTATATAATTCATTTTGTTTGATGATGGGCTATCTTTATGTGAAATGATAACCTTAAAAAAAAA